AACAATCAAATTAAGATCATTAAAGCTACTATTTTGATAGTTCACTATCTTGGTAATACTTGCTATTTATACTTACATCGATAGAAGATTCTTCCTTAATTAACAAATATCCTGCGAGGATTAACGAAGTAAAAGCAGTTCCCACAGCAGAGAACATTCCTAAATATCTTCTACTCATTTTTAATAATAAAACACTTGCTACTGAACTAAATAAAAGCCTAGTAACTGCTGTAATTACTGCAGCCAAGTAATTGTTTATATTATCACCACCTGTATATAATTAAATTAAATAAATTTACATAATTAGAATTATATATAGAAAATTTAAAAATATGTTTACATAATTAGAATTATAAAGATATAAAAATCTAATCACGTAAATATATTAAAAAATATATAATTTTGTTTCATCAATAAATTCTATATACATTATATTAGATTTTGATTTGTACTTTTGTTCTTTTGTATTAATTATACTATTCAACAAATAAAATCTTTTTATGTCTTAGACATAATATCTACTAACAATAAGTGATCCTTAAGTAATTTATATATATCGTTTTGTATAAATCTTTTATAATAAATTTTTTATCAATCTTCTAGGTGTATCTTAAAATGCCTTTACCAATATCTCCAATGAGATTTACTGCATAAAAAACGATGACAAATGTCCCACTTATTAACTGAAGAATATTAAAGATATTGATGATTGTTAATGGTTTGAAAACACCAGGGTCGAGTAGCGTAGAAATAACAGAAGAAATTTTTTCAAGCCATGACATATTCGTAGCTATTCGTGCTAAATCTGTTTTCATTCGAGCTTCCAGTATTCCCATTTCAGCATTAACCTTTCATAAATATAAAACAGAACTTCTCAAACTCAATGTTTCATTGTGAATCTATTATTGATGATAAGAGAAATATAATAATTATAAAAAGTAAAATAAAATTTGTAATAGAAATAGATTTGTAATAAAAATTTTCAAGTAGAAAAGTACTACTTTTTCAACCATTTAGCAATATTCAGTACTATCAGTATAGTTATTAAATAAAATTATGTATATCACCATTGACTAATAGGATAGACCAGATATCCAATGGGGTTTCAGGATCTGAAATATCGATTAAAAAAAAAAAATCATTGATTTTTTTAACACTCTCTATGCTTGTAAATTGGAGAACTATGTCAAACAAAATGATACAAGCTGATTAAATAAAATGATATCGTTACGTGTTGTCAATTGTATATCTCCAGCACAGACGAGGTATAAAAATATATACCTCATCTCCTCCAAATTCCGATGCAAGAAATCAGTATCTAAAACTATTCCGTTTATATATTTTATATGTTTATATATTTATATTTTATATATTTTATATATTTATATTTACATATCTATGTATCACAACGAGCTCTATCCATGTTTTAATATTAATACACATTTTAAGTATATAATTATTACATATATTTTTATTTCTATTATTATTATTATTATTATTATTATTATTATTATTATTATTACATATTTTTATTTCTATTATTATTGTTGTTGTTGTTGTTGTTGTTACCATCATCATCATCATCATCATCATTATCGTTATCGTCATCATCATCGTCATCGTCATCGTCATCGTCATCACTATCACTATCACTATCACTATCACTATAACTATCACTATCATTATCATTATCATTATCATTATCATTACTACTATTATTATTATTTTATACTTCACTGTTTTTAAAAATAATATTTACTAACTAAATTACTTGTTATCGTAATCAATATATAAACGGAATAGATATATAAACGCAATAAATATGTTAATATAATATAATATGCATATAATCAATATATAAACGCAATAAATATGTTAACTAACTAAATTACTTCCTAAAATTATTTTGATTGGCAATTAGTGATTGATTATTATATATTTAATTAGTTTTAAATAGCCACTGATCGAGATAAAATTTGGGCGTGAGATATGAAACTCCAAAGATATAAATGTTGGCTTCGAGAATTTTTTTTGCAAGTTAGAAATTCAATTTTATGAAATCTATTATATATATTATATAAAACAAGAACAAGAAATTAGCAACTGATGGTAGCAAATCGGCAGCAACTGATTTACGGCAAATCGTCGCAACAGCTATTCTTTTGAAAAAACAGAGATATAATATTCTCTTATCCTTCTTTTTATTAAACAAAACTTTTTATTAAAAACTTTGCATCCCTGTTCTTCCAAAATACCGCTGTCCTCAGACCACTCGTCTCTGCACCAAGCATTATTCGACCGTCTAAAGTGAACAAAATTACGCATAAATGCAACTCTCAAGAAGCACAAATATATCCATATATACGTATAAACATCTATCTCCGATCAACAGCAGTCGCCCGTAAACACTGTCACGATGTAATTCTTCTCAAAAAAAAAATCTGATTTTCATATCATTTTCTGCCTTTCGTTGTCTTTTATATTTTAAGTATCGTAAAATTATCTTTCGAATAATTAAATTCTCAAATTCAGCAAATATCTCAAAGGAGGGGATCGATTGGAACAATATCCTTATTTTGTACTGGGATTCAGCTATTTGGGTTCTAATTTCGAAAGATCCTACACAGATATTAGAGAATTAAAAAATACATTAAATTCTGTGTATATAAACGTTACTAATAGTGTATATAACATTACTATATTTAACATTAATATATTGTATATTGTATGAATGTAATGGTAAAAATTCGAGAAATCCTAACATTTCGTCGTCTAATTCTGATGATCAAAGTTTAATAGAATGGCAAAGAAAGAAATACAACAATATAAGGAATAATTATAAAATTGTATATATTCAAAAGAGTTGCGGCTCGTTTGAGAGTTCACATTCAGCCCGTTCAGCCTTCCCTATCGGTCATCGTTCTCTGTCATAAGACTGCAGTCTTATTTCTTCTAGCGAACCTCGGTGTTTATGTTAAGGTTTTCTTAACATGGATTCTACCGAATTTCTTTCCAGCAAGTTTTAAGATATTGAAAAAAGACAAAATTTTAATTTTCCATAGTAGATCCAGTCACGAAAAAATTCTCAATATTTTTGAAGATGTTTGAATTTTTCCAGTTTTCGAGATTAGAAATTTCTTTAATTTCTCACTTGCTACATAACGTAAAAATATCTTTACAAAAGCAACAAATCAAAGCAAAAGCTTCATATTTTAAAA